CTGTCAATTAAAAACAAAACAAAAAAAAACATTCTGCATAGTCAAAGGGGAAAGCATGGCCTAGGATTACTTTTAGTTTAGTGGTGCCCAGAAAGTTAGATGCCCAGATGATGCAGATCTACAACTCCCATGATGCTTTGCATATCTTTTGCATTAAAAAGCACAAAGGAAGTTGCCGTTTTAAAACATCTTGGTATCTATCTCTTGGGCACCCCTGGTTTAGTGCAATCAACTTACAGTTTAACAAAACAAAAGAGTACTTAAAAGTCATTGCCAATTCTCTAGATCAGGCATATCAAACTCCAACCACCAGTTGTTGCTGAACTAAAAGCCCCATGAGTCCTTGGCCTTCTAATGAGTTAAAATAAATTTGGGAGTTATAGGCCATCAACATCTGGGGAGCTAGAGATCCCTTCTCCAGTTGGTTGAAAGGTTGCAATGGTAGCAGGAATCCAGACTTTCATATTAACCAGTGAGCCTAATGAGAATGGAAAAGGCTGGATACAACCTTGAAACAACCTATAATGATGATAGCATAGTATTGTAACTTTAATAGAACATTCATCATAGATAATATACTCCACTTCACTCTATTCCAATACTGAATGACAATACGTTTTCTAGATTCTATACACGCTGGTAATCTATGTAATTTTCTTTGTCACTCTTTAATCACGTATAGCTATCCTCTACAACATTTTATCTATTTAAATATTGCAATGAGACAATTAAAATAATGCACAATGAAAAATAATATTCTGTCTCAGACTGAGGCTAACTGCAGTGTTTGGCAGCCCTGTGAATCTCACTCTGAGCATGTCTGTCTGGATTTCTAGCTCACCTTGCTCCCTTTCTACCAGATGGATTTTAGGAGCTTGGTTTTTGCATGTGTATTACTCCACCCATTGTCTTTTCAGTTGCTTACATGGAAATGCTAGGCTAGATTTGATTTTGTTTATTGCAGGTGTACATGAAACATAAGTTTTCATTTTTTTTAACTTGTTAATTGGTGTCTGCACTTTTGAGCAGAGAGTTTTTCTTTTTCTATAAAGGTTCTTGTTTCATTTTGACAATCTTTTTTCTAGTATTTGCCACCTCCAAACAGTTAGTGGATCTCATACAGGGAAAAGTGATTATTTTCAATGCTATACCTTTAATAGCAAAAAAAATGGCAAATAAGATTTTAATAATTTTGTGTCTCAGTATAGTAGCCACATATTAATGTTCAGACACCACTATGACTAGCCACTTTCGTTATGAAAATAAGGTCAGCAGGGATTTCTAGTGTTTCTCTGCTTGGGGGTGGTGGGACTTGTTATTCTGTATATTGTAGTACTGCTCTTTCAAAACAAGCCTCAATACATAGACCATAGTTGGCTTCTTCTTCCTCTTAATGATGTGTAATCCAAGACAGTCACCTCTTCCAGCTGTGGTGGAGTGTTTTTGAAACTAAGTTACACTTCAATCTTTGTGGTCTAAAATAGCAAAAGACTACATAGGGGCATGACAAACACAACACACAATCATGAAGGTCAGGTGTTTTACAGACTATATATAAAATTTATAATGGTGTTGGCACTCAAAAGTGAAAGGTATTGCAGGTGCAGATATTGCGGTCACCCTCTGTTATAGCCTCTAGAATAAATATAAAAAAATTAAACCAATACCGCACTCAATTAATTACAAAATATTATTTAATTAAGGAAAAAATTGATCAAGAGAAAATTGATTGTCATTACACGGAAGGGGATAGAAACAGGTTCTATGCAATTTCATAGAGAAAATGACACATTAAACACAATATATGTACAAAAATATATCTTAAGGCTATAATACACAGTATATACAAATCAAGGTCAGACCAAAATTGGTCAGAAAAAGCATCAGTTAATCAGTTATGCATACAATAATCATCTGTCACTAATCTGGTGTATCCACTCAGTAATTGATAAATATAGTGATATCACTCTAATCACAGAGAAACAAAGAGAGAAGAAATGAAAATTTCCTTAGAGTAATAAATATAGCTCTCTCTCACCACAAAAATATAGAGAGTATGTACATTGAGGAGAAAAAAAATGACAAGTCCAACTTACAAAGGATCTTTGTACAATCCACTGAGTATATAAAAAAATGTAGGAAAAATTAAGAAATTAATGCAGATAAAAGCAAAATGTAGAAATGAGCAAAAGAAATCCAAAGAAAAATAATGAAAAATAATGGTTGATCTCACCAAATTGCCATTAGTCTGTCCTTGACAAAGACGTCTCTAAAAGTCTCTCAAAGCTTGTGCAGTAAATAGTCCACCAAATATTGCTGGAGCATGGATGTTGTCCTGGACTGGGCAGAGGATTCATGATATCCTGGGCTGTGTGCTCAGGACCCCAATGTCCCTTCAAAGGGCCTGAATTGGTAAAGGTAACACACGGGTGTTACCTTTATTTATCTGAACACAATCAGAACAAAATTAAATGAAATTAAGATTTTCTTTCTCCAAACAGTTAACAAAAAACATTTCTTACAATAGAATTACAAAAATGAAAAAGGAACCATATTCAATTCACTTAAAACAGCACTGTCATGGCCAAATCCCGTTTTGTTTTTTTTACCCCCCTCCAGACTCTAAATCTAATTGTCCCCCTAGTCACACCAAATACCCCTAATCCCCCCATTTTACCTATTTTTGCATCTTTATTTCATGCCTGGACCTAGGTCCTGGGTGCTGCCATCTTTGTGTGGTTAGTTGAAATCCCTGTGGGACACGTGATCTGCCCACACTAGATAGCGCTGTGAAATTCCCGCGCATGCCTAGTTAAACACTTGTTGAAAGGTATATGTGGAACTGCACTCACTCCCACAAATCTGAGCCAGGGTGCTTGCTGAGCCAGAATCAAACACCAGATTTCCAAACATTTAGTAAAATAATAGGGGTTCAGACACTCCTTGTTTCAAGACAGGCACTTTATTGAGAACCACAACAGCAACTTTTCGACCTCAAAAGGTCTTTGTTAAGCTACTAGTTAAACACTTGGGCATGTGAACAGGAATTTAATCTATTCATTCATCAGAAAGATGAATAAATGAATAGAAATTTCAAATGAATGAACGGAGACCTCTTCATTTAGTTTATTACAAGGAGGGAGCTACCAGCGTGCAGATCCCTCCTTGTAATATATAAAAATAGAAGCGGCAGGGAGCAGTGCTCCCCACCACTTCTTAAGCAATCCATGTCTTCCCTCACTCTATGGGTGTCAATGTGACCCCCATAATAGCATAACCGAGGTTAAAATCTCCCGAATGCCCCTACTCGAGTAGGAGCATGTCTGCTAAACAGTGAGCAGCCAGCGGCCCCCTAGTGTCCCCCCTCCTGAGCCCCCACCTGTGTAGCACAAGTGGAGTTTATTAAACTGAAGGGGGGACCATGAGCGGCGGGTGGGGGCCCTGAATGAAAATGGGGGGCGGGACCTATTGTCCCCCCCCGGCCCCCATCCATTAGCGGTGGGTGGGGGCCCCGCATTTTCATTTAGGGCCACCTCCAATGAGCGGCGAGTGGGAGCTCTAAATGAAAATGGGGGGGACCCAGTCAAATTACACAACCACCCGCTCATGGGTGGGGAGGACAATAGGTCCCCAGCCACATTTTCATTTAGGGCTCCCACCCGCCGCTTCAGATTTACCCTGACAAATATAGGTCATTCACTCACTGCCACCCTCTACAAGTCTCCAGACACCAAGATTAACTTGGTGAACAGCAAAGTTGTTGTTTTCTCGCGGTGCAATCACTGATAATAGTCAAGCAGATACAGGCCTGGTAAAGGCCATTACCTATTCCACCAGCCTGTATAGTGAATTTTATGACTCTAAATTACCATTATTATGCTTTTTGTTTACTCTCTCTGTGGCTATACATTGTTATTTTTTTCTTACAATGTTACTTACTGTATTGTTCTGTACTAATTGTCAATGCAGATTTCTTTACATGCCATTTTTATTGTATTCTGTACATGCAGTGTATTAGTATTTACTGTATACATGACTACTATTTTCTTGGAGATATAATCTGTTAGGTTAACTTTTCAATTTTGGACAACGTTCGTTTAGACCACACACCTACCTGTTCTTACCCTGTCCCTGTAGTACATTCTTTTTTTTTTTCTATTCTTTATTGTATTTGTGCTTGGAGCAACAGTAAACATGCAGAGCCACAACAGCTGCTGCAAGCATAGTCATAGCATTTCACATAGCACATTTTTATAATATAGATTTAACAAGCTCTAAGGCATCATCGATTTGTGGTAATTTGTAAACATGCTAAGACAAATAGCACAATTTATCCCCTTAAGGACACATGACGGAAATATTCCGTCATGATTCCCTTTTATTTCTGAAGTTGTGTCCTTCAGGGGTTAAAGTGTTATGGAACGCAGGCTAAACATATTTCTCAAAATGAGGTTAATTCATATTTTATCAACATACTAAACATGCTTGTACCAGTCAGTGAGTAGAGACTGTTAGGCTTGGTAAATTAGGCTTGATACTCTGACTGCTGTAGCGGTTGTCTTAGTGAGGTATCATATGGTTAGATGGTGAAGCGTATCTAAGTTGGGAGAGGGCCACCAAGTGTGAGAAACATTTTGTCTATCCATAAGGGGATAGTCTAGCAAGCTAGTATGGGGGAGTATATCTGAAGGTTATTCAAGTTTTTAGTAACAGGCTCTGCATATTAAACTAATAAAAACCTAAACTGAACACAAATAATAACAACTAAGGAGAATGACACAGGTACAGTCTGAAGGTCTGTATCAGCCAATACCACATGAGTGAGGCAAGCGGAATCTGGGTTTACGTGTTGGCAGGCGGTTTCGATCAAGTCCTCCTTCATCCTCAGGCCTTGGTCGGGAGTCCCCCAGAGCACGCAGACCCTCATAGCTGTGTTGCTGTTCCTCCGCTCCAGAAGCTAGATCTGATAAGCATTCCAGTGCTTTTTTATCTCTGGGCTCTTAGCCTGCATAGACAGTGCCAGTCACCCCCTGGGAGCCTATATCACCGACAAGCTCACTTGGCTGCGGGTGTTTGATGGGCTGGACATCCATCCGGTCTCTCGGCTTATATTGAGATTGATGCGTTCGGTCCACGCTGGAGGTCCCCCCAGGAGCAGGTAAGGAAGGGGTCTGCTGTAGCTGTCGAGCCTCTATTTGGGCCCAGAAGGCTGTGCAGAGCTCGTCGAACGCTGTGTTGAATCTGACTTCCCACGAGGGTGTTTGAGGTACACAGGGCTTGGGTTCTTCAGGGTTCCCCTGATGTCGAGGTGGGTCGATGGTGGTCGTGATTATGTAGGTCTGGTCGCTCATGTTGGTGAGCTTTGCTTCTTCCTGCCACGCTGGTTCCTTAGCAGCGGCCATCTTGGGGCCTCTGCAGAGTTTCAGGCTTACAGGAGTTGTGCTGGCTCGTTGGTGCCAGAGTGCTGAGATTCCTTGGTGGGATCTGGGATAACCCCCACCGGAGCACAGGGGGGGGAGCACTGGCACCGGCCGTGTGTAGGATTGGCCCCTCCAGGCCAGGATTGGAAGATCGGCCGCTTCTCCCGCCCCGTCCGCGGAGGAGGCCGCAGTGTTCACTCAGACATCAGTCGGCGTGGGCATACAGTTGGGTAGTGCTTGTTTTGTTTCTTTTCCAGGGATGCCCAAGAGTTGCCAGGCGGTGGCAGGAAGTCAGGTGTGGGCTGCAAACAATGATTTTGGGGCAATAAAACGCTATTTTCCCAGTAGCCAACACGACATGCGTCTGCTCGTCTTGACAGTCAGGCCTCGCCCCCCTGTAGTACATTCTTAAACCTGTTATCTCATTATATTCTAGCTAGAGGCCTCACAAACATACCATATTGAAGCAATAACTCTAATTTTCACTAAGCACTTCCCACCTTCCTTCCTATCATCCCACCTACCCTGCTGTCTATTTCCTTTTGACTTAGAGCATGTCTTTCCATGTATTTGGCATCCTCCCAAATTACTTACTCAAGCACATTACATCTTAGCAGTCTGTACAAATGTTCAAAGGCTCTCTGTTCATTATCTCTACATTTTACGCTACTTCCTCTTGTCTCAAGACCTCACCATAACCTTTAGATTGTAAGTTATTTAGCTTCTTATAAAAGGGTTGTAAATGCTAGTTCTCAGCTCATGGGCAGGTTCCTCTATTAATTTTGTATTGATTTGTCTACACTAAAGTCTAAAAGTATATTGTCCCCAATTGTACAGAGAGGATTATGGCGGTGCTTTATAAATACCTGTAATAATGATAATGATTATAATAATATAATGAGGGGCCAAGGACAATCATGGTAATATGGTATTTCTTCAAACTGGCAGGACATATACATTTGCATTTGGATGATGTTTTCTAAGTAGTTTAAAAAAAACTTTTTTTTTTTTTTTCAATTCCAGGATATACCCTAGCTCATGGCTTACTGGGGGGAGATAGTCAGTTGGGGAATTTGATTTTGGAGTTTGATTATATTTGGGTTCAACACTAAGATTTCAGCACATGCATAAATAACAAATAAGCATTTATTTTTGTCTGTTTTCTGACCTTTGTGCATAACTAATGTTATTTACTTTTCACAGGTTTACAATTATTATGGACTCTGGTAAATTGATCCCAAAGTGTTGGGAAATATGTGTCTATCAGAGTTTGCAGGAATCTATGATCTGCAAACTTTCTTTGTCTTAGGGATGAGCATAACCACCTAGCAAAGCTAGTGGGTATGCGGCAGCCTCCCGGAGTCAAATGCCAGAGCTGAAAAGGCTCGCGCTGTGCATCTGCACAGCAACAGCCTTTCAGCCAATCAGGTAATCAGGAGAGCCGTGCTGAGCGCGGGAATCCTGATTACCTCAGATTTTTTAAAATTGGGAAACTGCGGATGGTTAGCACATCCCATGAAATAACTAAGGATAAATATTTCCCACAGTGAACAGGAATATAATTAAACTTCTAAACACAAAATAAAATAATTCAAGATGCCAATAGTACAGGGGAACAAGAAAATATTTAATAAGTCATGGAGACATACAAGATAGACTTGAAACTTTGTATAAAACAGCTGAACTGAAAAACAAGGCAACAATGTGTGCCAAAGGAAAGTATCCAAAGACCACTGGAAACATTCAACGTAAGTTGCAACAAAATAAGTTCAATAAAAGAGACAAGAAATGTTGAAACAAGTCCCAGCAGACATAATCTTTATGCAGGGAGTCCATGAGAATATTAAACCGACGAGACTACTTGCATCCAATCCTTCTACTTAGGTGGATCCTTGGTTTGTTGGTCTTGTCTTGGAGTACGGCTATAGTCTGTAAAAAACAAAACAGAGAACAGTTATCAAAAGGTTGAATAATCACCAGATAACCTTATGTTTTAGAAAAACCAACTACCACCAGCAGGCAAAACCCTTAACTAGGAGGAGGGTGGGACGGGCGCTATTGCTAGGTGGTTATGCTCATCCCTAAGACAAAGAAAGTTTGCAGATCATAGATTCCTGCAAACTCTGATTTGTCCTCGGGAGGCATAACCACCTAGCAAAGCTAGTGGGTAGAATAGCACACACCTGGTGGTGGTCCTAAGAAACTGAAGGCGTTCAACTTCTGATGGCCTCCAGTAAAATCTAACAAAGGTTTTACTGGACAACCATCTTGCAGCTTTTAAGATAGTAGCTAGAGGAAGGCCCTTTCCTGCTGCTTTAGTAGCCGAGGCTCCCCTAATTGAATGGCTTTTGAACACTGAAACATCAATTCCAGCCGTAGACATGGCGGAAAGTATCCAGCCTCTAATTGTATTAACCTTGGCTGGACGAAAGGGATTCCTTGATGTAATGAATAATTGACTGATATCGTTTCTAAATCCAGCAGAAAGTTGAAGGTACGATTGTAACAAACTGACTAAACATAAGCCTGGTTCGGAAGAATCTTGGACCAAGTCCAATTCTACCGGACCAGGAGAAAAATGGGATGTTTTTTGTCTGCCTTTTAGTATAATATGGAAACCTCCCGGGGTCCTGGACAACCAAGGTTCTGAAATATGGATCTGAGTTAACTCTGCTCCTCTAGCTGCCAGGGCCAAGGACAGCAGAGAAGCCAGCTTAATAGCAGTCCATCTTAAATCAATTTTAGCATTATCCAAAGACTTTAGGAAATTTAATAAGACATCTACATCCCAAGTAGATGTGTAGCGTGGGGTATATGGGCGGCAGACGGCTAACCCTTTTAGTAATCTCAAATACAGGGCATCCTGAGTAAGGTTGGGGATCAGGAAGTTTAAGGCAGATCCGTAGGTCTTGATTGAACTGACAGATAAACCAGAATGGAACTTAAGGGTAAGAAATTCTAACGCCAAAGGAATGGTATCAGATCCTTGTGTGTTAGACAGAAAAGAAACCTCCCATTCTTTGAATTCCTCGATCATCTTTCTATATCTTACCCTAGTTCTACATCTTAAAGATGAGTTAATAATATCCAAGACCTGGTCCGATAAATGGGGATGTGTTAACAGCCTACCAGGGCTGCAATCCACATCAGCTGCGGGAGCTTGAGCAGAAGATCGCTGGTTCCCTGAAAGCAGTCCACTGTCATGCCTAATGGGATCTTGGTTCCCTTGACTAACTGATGGATCAAGGGATACCAGGGTCTGGAGGTCCATACTGGGTAAACGAGAACTAAGCTCTGCACCCTGTCCCTGCGGATCTTCTCCAGCACTTTCATCAGTAAAGATGGAGGGGGGAAAGCATAAGGGGCTGGAACATCCGTCCATTGGAAAGACATTGCATCCATTTTCCAAGCTCCCTTTGTCCAGGTCCGGGAGACGAACCTGGGAGTTTGAGCGGATGTTTGGGATGCAAACAGATCTACCTGTCTCTGGCCAAAATTGCTTTCTATCTTTTGGAAAAGAGCAATCTTTAATTGGATCGTTGCCAGGGACAAACTTTGGCGAGAGAGAGAGTCTGCAAGCTCGTTCGCCTCTCCCGGAACATATTCTGCGAAAACCTGAACATTGCTTGCTAAGGCCCAGGACCAAAGATCTAGAGCCTCTAAGCAAAGACCCCTTGATCTTGTACCCCCTCTGTGGTTTATATAAGCCACCGCTGTCCTGTTGTCCGAATGGACTTTTACCAATGTCGGTGACTCGTTTAGAGGAACTAGGCCCTTGAGAGCTAATTTTATAGCTCGTAACTCCAAGATGTTTATATGGAGGTGACTCTCTTGGTCTGACCAGATTCCTCTTATGGCGTTTTGGGTTGTAAACGCACCCCAACCGTGACTTGAGGCATCTGACGTCAGAGTGACTGTCGCAGGCTGCTCTAACAGTGGACGAGGAAATGGAATTTCTAACTCCAGAATGGACTTCAATTCTTCTCTGACCTTCTTGGGGAGAACAAATTTTGATTCCCAATGGCCACCCTGTCTCAGTCGGTTCCCTAAAAACAGCTGACTTCTTCTGCAAAGTAAGGGGGAATTGTTGTATGCTGGTGTTAAAGCTATTAATTTCCCTATGATCTTTGCTAGGTCTCTCAAGGACCAACTCTGGTGCTTGAGAGATGAGTTCAGATGTACCAATAATTTGTCCCATTTGTCTTGAGGGATTCCAAGGGACATAGTCCTGGTGTTCAGTATGAAACCCAGAAAGAGGATGCTTTGAGTGGGAATTAGGACTGATTTCTGTAGATTTACTACGAATCCTAGGTCTTGTAAAAGGGAAGCAAGGTAATCCCTTTGAGAAGCAAGGGCTTCCCCATCTGGGTGCATGAGCAGGATGTCGTCTAGGTAGTATAGACACATGAAACCTTTTAGTCTGACATGAGCTATCACTGATTTCATAATTCTGGAGAATGTGTATGGTGCGTTGGAGAGGCCAAACACCATAACAGTCCACTGCCACACCTTTCCTTTCCACTGAAACCTGAGAAAACGCCTGTGTTTCTTGGCTATGGGGACTGAATGGAAGGCATCTTTTAGGTCTACTTTTATGCAGAAAAAGGCTTTCTGAACTAAGCCTGGAAGATCTGATAGACTCTCCATCCTGAACCTTTTCCTTTTGATGAAAGCGTTCAGAGGCCTCACATTTAGGACCGGTCTCCAGGAACCGTCTGACTTTGGGATTGGGAACAATGGGCTGACCCATCCTGTAATAGACATGTCTGCCAACTCTATTTTTCCTTGACTTAAAGCTAAGGAAAGGGAGGCATCTAGCACTGGGTTCACCTCTCTGTGGGGTGCAAATTTCTGGACTGGGAACCTTAACAGGGGGAGTTGTAAACCCCTTTGAAAGATCTTTAGAACCCATTTGTCTGAGGAAATATCCTTCCAATTTAGTGGCATATGAGGAGGCACACTTACTTGAATGCATGGGTTTCCTTTTGGAAGCTGAACCGCCTCTGGAATGCGCTCCTCTGCCGCCGCCTGGGAGCTTATGTCTTCCACTGTAGTGGCGGTACTGGGCCTGGTGAGAGGCTTCTCGGGACGCTCCTGCAGCCCTATAGGGGCGACCCTCCGTCCGAAAGGGCTTCTTGTAGCCAGGGACGGACTTCTTGAGTTCTGAAAAGGATCTCCTTGCCTTGTAACGGCCTTTAACCTCCTGAATGAACGAGGGACCGAATAGGTAAGAATCCTCCAAATTTGGGAACTCATGCGATTTGGGGGCTAGGTCGGACAGACCAGCTGCATGGAGCCAGCGGGATCTGCGGATGTTTGAAATGTAATTAAAGGATTGGCCAATAATTAGCACTGCCCTGCCAGACGCTTTTAAAAGGGCCATCTTAGATGCTAACAGGGATGAAGTGGAAGGTTTCTGAGCATTGCCTTCTTTTTCTGCTTTATCCAGCATCAGTAATAGTGGTCCCACAGCATCAGCAATTTTAAACTGTATATTGCGAAAAGTCTGGTCTGTGGGATCAGAGGATACGCTGCTCCCTGTGATGGATAACAGCGAAGGGTCTACCTCTGGGGCCATTAGAGCCTGAATGTCCGGGATACCGATGTGGTTCCTGAGGAGAAGGTCATCTTCCTTAACCAAGGGGGATCTGAAGGCTAGTTTAGCAAAATCTCTAACCTCGGAATCGTGCTCCATAGCCCATCTGGAGTGAAATAATTTTGATGGGAGAGTCTTTCCTAGGAGACTTACTCTGGCCATCTGAACATTGCTTAGCTTCCCTCGCTCAGTGGAAGCTGCTGAACGAACCACTTCCTCGGATTCCCAGTCTATTTCTGGAGAGCCGTATCTGGAACTGGGACGGCTTTGGGAAGAAGAGTGAGCGAACGCTCTAGAAGAGGAAGGAGAGGGACTATCTAACCTCCAACGAGATTTGCCCTTTTCCTCTGGGAGGTGTTTCTGGTGCTCAAACGAGGGAAACACGCTATTCCTTTTTTGAGGTCCTGTCCCCTTAAATTTTCGCTTACTCAAACGAGTATGAGGGGAAGGAGGAGCGGAGAAGTTTTCCTCAGACGAGGAACTGGCGGAAGAGACCAGCCGTCTTCCTTTATGCTTTTTATTTAAAACTGGGACCAAATCCTCCTCAGATGATGAAGAGGATAGATCCCTGGCAAGGAAAGCTCTCTTATGGAGCTTTCTAACATTGATGGGGCTGCCTTTAAGAGAGGCATCCACTAAATCTGTGGCAGACACAGAAATAGAGTCCTCCATCAATGATGCCATTTTAAAAAATCTGAGGTAATCAGGATTCCCGCGCTCAGCACGGCTCTCCTGATTACCTGATTGGCTGAAAGGCTGTTGCTGTGCAGATGCACAGCGCGAGCCTTTTCAGCTCTGGCATTTGACTCCGGGAGGCTGCCGCATACCCACTAGCTTTGCTAGGTGGTTATGCCTCCCGGAGGACAAAAATGTTTCCATGGCTTATCAAATTTGTAGAATTTATAAATCACATGTCCTTTAGCCTAATATATTATGCTATTGTGTTAAGCAAGTAAAGTGTTCAGTGACATTTGGAATTGAAAAGGTTACATTAATTAATACAAAGAATTTAGCAAAATATTTTAATACAAAATTTGTAATGCTCTTATCAGGGCAGACTTATCATTAACACTAAAATAAAACTGATTAAACATCTTGCCATCTCCATCACTCTTACTGCTTATGTGAAAAGAGCATCTGTTTCTCAAATGTAAACCCAATATTGTTGATAATGGTACAGTGGAAGAGGTAGAAAAAATAAGTATTAATAAAAGTATAGCAGTATTTGCTACTCAGTAAACTAGGAAGAGTTAGTTAAATCTTCTTGGAAGGATAAACAGCTACCCTTATTAATGGAGGGGAAGAATGGCAAGGACAAATTAATAACAGATGAATATGTAGGCTCTGGATCTCTCCAGTATCCAAGGAATCTTTCTCACTGTAGTGATGCGGCCAAAGCCATATGTAGAGCCTGTGCTCTAAACAACAATCATAAGTATTTACTCAAGACTCAGAGCTAGCAACTTTTGCATCCAAAGTCATATGCAAAGGTAGCACTTCTGAAGATTATCAAACATTCCCTAAACTTACTAACATCAATAGAAACATGGCTCTAACCCCTGACACTGCTACGGGCAATCATCCTTTGGCGCTCTTCATTTAACTCACATCCCAAAACAATGTGACAATAAGGGTGGCTGGTTAGGGTTTCTGATTTCACTCCACTGCTTCTTCAAACCTCTACCCACTCCCTTCTCTCTCTTTATCCTCATTTGAAGTTTAGTCAGTCAGCCTGCTCAAAATTATCTCTGCAAACATTGCCATTATTTACTCCCCTTTCCTGGTTCCCCTCTTCTCTAATTCTTGAGAACTTTAGCATTCCAGTTAATCAACCACTGACCTCAGTAGCCTCAAAACTTATTTCCATTACTTCTTCCCTAAGCTTATCCCAGTGGGCTGATTCTCTCACACATGTAGCTGGCAATACCCTTGATCTTATTTTTTTTTCAGATGCATGCAGTCTCTAATCTCTGTGACACTTACTTTCCTTTCTCAGATCATCACCTCTTATCTTTTGATTGCAAGAGTCCCCTCACCCATGGCTCATTGCCTAACTCTCCTCAATGCAGGAATAATCTGAATTCTATTGTCCTCTAGCAACTGTTTGTTGTCCATTCTCACCTCTCATCTTGTTATGGGTGGTGGTCCGGTGACCGGCACTCCTGTATGCCTGATGATGGCAGGAGTCACAGCGTGGAAATGAACAATCAGGGTCTAGTACAGAGTAACCACACGCCTCCCTGGTGTTGAGCACCAGGGTTTGTGCGGCCACATACCAGGGCCCTGATGCAGCTTCTGCGGATCTTAGGAGATAGATATATTGCAGATATCTATCCAGTACTAGAAACAAGGCAAGACTAGAACAGGCACCAAACAAGATAACAAGACAAGACTAGAAGGACCCAGGACAGAAAGCAGAAGCCAGAACATGTACACAATACATGAAGGAAACAAGAACAGGGCATGATGTACATGAACTGGAAATACAAGACAAAATAAAACAAGACAAGAGATACAAGGCAAAACAAGAGGAGAAATGTATGTATATATATTATATATATGTCATAAACATTGGAGATTTAGACAGACATAAATGGACAAGATGTATGCAGCACCAAAGTACTCCAATTACGGTGGGTCCTAACTGCCTAGATATGCATGACTAAAAGTACAACAATAAAACACACACAATACTTATCTGCAAGGAAATGAGCAGAGGAATGAGACCACTGCTAGCAGGGAACACTCTGAAACAAAAGGATAAATGGCAAAGGAATGGGGGTGGCCAAAAAAAATAAATGAAAAAAATAAAAATGTAAAGGAATCCAGGAGACTGGGAATTCAAAGAACGGAATAAAGGAATGAACCCAGAAAACCCAGCATAAAGAAAACCAGACATAGAGTAGAAAAACAGAAAAACCAAGAAAAACTATATCTTAAGGAAGAACCCATGGCAATAGATGTGCAAATGATTGCTACTAAAAATTTGTAGAATAATTGTAATTGGTTAACTCAAGACAAGGTGCTGCAGCAACTAAAGAAAGTTAATACAAACAAAGCTCCAGGGCCTGACGATATCCATCCACGTGTACTTAATGAACTAAGTGTAGAAATAAGTGAACCTCTGTTTTTAATCTTTCAAGATTCTTTTCTTTCAGAAAGTGTTCCGGAGGATTGGAGAAAGGCAGATGTGGTTCCTATATTCAAAAAGGGTTCAAAATCCTTGCCTGGAAATTATAGATCTGTGAGCTTAACTTCTGTGGCTGGTAAAATATTTGAAAGGTTATTAAGGGATAATATTCAAGAATTCCTTGAGAAGAATATGGTTATCAGCAAAAATCAGCACAGTTTTATGTCAAACTAACTTGATTGCGTTCTACGAAGAAGTAAGTAGAAGTATAGATCAGGGTGTTGCCGTGTGATCTATTTGGATTTTGCCAAGGCATTTGATTTGAAGTTCCACAGAATAGATTAGTGTTCAAACTCAAGGAAATCGGTCTAGATGAAAATGCTTGTTCTTGGGTAGAAGATTGGCTTAAAAACAGAGTACAAAGAGTTGTCATTAATGGTAAATTTTCAAGCTGGACAGAGGTGGCAAGTGGTGTCCCTCAGGGGTCTGTTCTGGGACCCCTTCTATTTAACATGTTTATAAATGATCTTGAAGACAGCATTGAAAGTCATGTTTCAGTGTTTGCAGATGACACAAAACTTTGTAAAATAATACAATGTGAGCAAGATATTACTTTGCTGCAGAGGGATTTAGATAGACTGGGGGACTGGGCACTCAAATGGCAGATGAAATTTAATGTTGAAAAATGCAAAGTTATGCACTTCGGCGTAAAGAATACACAAGCAACGTATACCCTTAATGGAAGTGAATTAGGGATAACAACACACGAAAAGGACTTGGGCATTGTTATAAACAACAAACTATGCAACAATGTGCAATGTCAATCAGCAGTGGCCAAGGCCAGTAAGGTATTGCTGTAACGGACCGTTTTGCACACAAGGGGTAAAAACCGTTTAGGCGATCGGCCCCCTTTCCAGAGATGCAGGCACAGCTACTGCAGAACACCAAAACTCCTGAACTGGATACAAAATAGCACTCCAACTCCCG